CAGTCAGGATGCATTGATTAAGTACTGGTGATTGGAATGCAAAAACTGGAAACAAAAAGAATCAGTAGTTGGAAAATACGGCTTTGGTGATAGAAACAACATTGGAGATCACATGATAGAATTTTGCAAGGCCGGTGACTTTTTCATTGCAAATACCGTTTTTCAACAACATAAACTGACTGTACACATGGACCTTGCCAGATGGAATTCATAGGAATCAAATCAGCTACGTCTGTGGGAAGAGAAAAAGAAGAAGCTCAGTATCATCAGTCAGAACAAGGCCAGGGGCTGACTGTGGAACAGACCATCACTCATATGCAAATTCAAGTTAAAACTGAGGAAAATTAGAGCAAATCCACGAGAGCCAAAAGATGACCTTGAGTATATCCCATCTGAATTTAGAGACCATCTCAGGAATAGATTCGACACATTAAACACTAATGACCGAAGACCAGACGAGTTGTGAAATAACATCAGGGACATTATACATGATGTCTTAGGCTGGGTTCTCTAGAGAAGCAAAACCAATAAAGCATAGAAATATCTATATAGAGAGATTTATATCATGGAAATGGCTCACGCGGTTGTAGAGGCTGGAATGTCCCATGTCCATGGGTCAGGCTGGAGCTTTTCGTGATTAATGTAGCCACAGGGGCTGGCGAACCCAAGATCTGCAGGCCAGACAGCAGGGCTCTTGCTTACAGGCTGGGAAGACTGACAAATCCTAAGACCGGCAGACAAGACAGCAGATAAGCTCAAGTCCCAGGAAACAGAGGTCAGACCCACAGGAGCCAACTGCAGGATCCAGAGCAATCAAAAGCCTGTCAGCCTTGCCAGAAAGTCCACCTATATAGGATGCAGGCCACACCCCCAAGGAAACTCCCTTTCAACTAATTGGCTACTCACAGCAGATCCCATGATGGAGGTGATCGCATTATATCACATCTCATCATGGAAGTGATCACATCGTCATAACTGACAAACCACCGAGAATCATGGCCCAGCCAAGTTGACACACAACCTTAAAGATCACACGTGAAGAAAGGAAAAGGTCATTGAAAAGACAGGAAAGAAAGAAAAGACCAAAATGGATGGCAGAAGAGACTCCGAAATTTGCTCTTGAATGTAGAGTAACTAAGGCAAAAGGGAGAAATGATGAAGTAAAAGATCTGCATAGAAGATTTCAAAAGGCAGCTCAAGAAGACTAAGTAAAGTATTATAATGAAATGTGCAAAGACCTGGAATTAGAAAAACAAAAGGGTAGAACAGGCTCTGCATTTCTCAAGCTAAAGAACTGAAGGAAAAATTCAAGCCTCATGTTGCAATTTTGAAGGATTCTATGGGGAAATTACTGAACAACGCAAGAAGCATCAGAAGCAGATGGAAGAAATATACAGTCACTGTACCAAAAAGAATTGGTCAATGTTCAGTCATTTCAGGAGGTTAGCATATGATCAAGAACCAGTGGTACTGAAGGAAGAAGTCCAAGCTGCACTGAAGGCATTGGCAAAAAACAAGGCTCCAGGAACTGACGGAATACCAGTTGAGATGTTTCAGTAATGGATGCAGCGCTGGAGGTGCTCACTTGCCTATGCCAAGAAATTTGGAGGACAGCTGCCTCACCAGTCAACTAGAAAAGATCCATATTTGTGCCCATTCCAAAGACAGGTGATCAACAGATTGTGGAAATTATTGAACAACATCATCAATATCTCATGCAAGTAAAATTTTGCTGAATAGCATTCAGAAGCAGTTGTAGCAGTACGTCAACGGGGAACTGCCAGAAATTCAAGCTAGGTTCGGGAGAGGATGTCATTGCTAATGTCAGATGGATCTTGGCTGAAAGCAGAGAATACCAGAAAGGTATTTACCTGTGTTTTATTTACTATGCAAAGGCATTCGACTATGTGGATCATAACAAATTATGGATAACATTTCAAAGAATGATAATTCCAGAACACTTAATCATGCTCACGAGGAACTTGTACATAGATCAAGAGGCAGTCATTTACAGAAGAAGGGGATACTCCATGGTTTAAAGTCAGGAAAGGTGTGTGTCAGAGTTGTATTCTTTCACCATACTTATTCAATCTGTATGCTAAGCAAAATGAGAAACTGGACTGTGTGAAGAAGAGCATGGCATCAGGACTGGAGGAAGACTCGTTAACTGCCTTTGATATGCAGATGATGCAGCCTTGCTTGCTGAAAGTGAAGAGGACTTAAAGCACTTAACTGATGAAGATCAAAGACAACAGCCTTCAGTAGGGATTGCACCTCAACATAAAACAACAAAATTCCTCACAACTGGACCAATAAGCAACATCATGATAAGTGGAAAAAAGATTGAAGTTGTCGAGGACTTCATTTTACTTGCATCCACAATCAATGCCTATGGAAGCAGTAGTCAAGAAATCAAACAATGTATTGCATTGGGCAGATCTACTGCAAAAGACCTCTTTGAAGTCTTAAAAAGCAAAGGTGTCTCTTTAAGAACGAAGGTGTACCTGACCCAAGCCATGGTATTTTCAGTCGCCTCATGTGCATGCGAAAGCTGGCCAATGAATAAGGAAGACAGAAGAAGAATTGAAGCCTTTGAATTATAGTGTTGGCAAAGAATATTGAATAAACCATGCACTGCCAGAAGAACAAACATAACTGTCTTGGAAGAAGTACAGCCAGAATGTTCCTTGGAAGTGAGGATGGCAAGACTTCTCACATACTTCGGACATGTTATCAGAAGAGACATCATGCTTGGTAAAATAGAGGGTCAGTGAATGAGAGGAAGACCCTCAATGACATGGATTCACCCCATGGCTGCAACAGTGGGCTCAAGCATAACAATGATTGTGAGGATGGCACAGGACCGGGCAATATTTCGTTCTGTTGTATGTAGGGTCACTGTGTTGGAACCAACTGGACAGCACCTAACAACAACATGAATATCTAGTGATTTGGTGAAGAGATTCCACTTTTTCATAACTTTCAATTTATAAAATTTAATTATTGTCTCATACTGAGAAGGAGATCTACAGAATTTCAAAACAATGTGTGACATGGAGCTGCCTATGAAAGAAAGTGAAAATTTATGTTTGTTTGCTAAATAACAAAAATCTAGAGAAGTAATAACTCAAAAACTCATGATCTTTTTACTCATAAGCCATTTGGAGAATTATTTTTATGTGTTTTCAGTATTAAAACTTGATTTAAGATATACTGTTTTCAGACTGTTTTAAAGATTTTAAGATGAGATCAGATGACAAATACTATGAATTAGTAATTTTTATATATTTCTGTATCTCAGCTAAGTAATGATTTTCGCTTCGTGTCCAAAAACAAGGCTGTAACATAATAAATAGTATAGTAATGGAAAACCCTGTTTAGTTTCAGGAAGTTTGGGGTTTTTTAAATTAATTGTTGAAGAATTTCATTTTTAGTAATTCAGTTAACAGATGAATGCTTCCTAATACACATTTGTTTTTTCCTAAGCATGTCCAACAAAATGTTAAAAATTATTCATTGCTTTTTGTACATAAATTTGTGTTAAATCAATTTTATTTAGCATTAACCTTTCCAGTAGTTTGCCACACAATCAGCATTTGGTGACGCAAAAGGATAGTGACATTTGATATATGATTTATATTAGCTGTTTATTAACATTACTCTGACAGCTAACAAAAAAAGAAAATTTCCTGTAGTTTGAAACATAAATGAATTCTTTCTTTTCATTTTAGGGGGATGGTAATCTTTCAAGTATCTGTAACATATTAAAATAAATACGTTATATCCACTGCCTCTGTGGGCTTGCTTAACTTTGAGCCAATGAAGCAGGGGACTTCTACTGCTTCTGAAACATTGCTAGAGCAGTGTTCTTTATGGTTAAAATTTGTAAATGAAAGGAGTGCTGATTTTTCTTGAAACCTTGCCAGTGGAAAAAGAGTAAGGTATACATTGGAAAGTTTGCTCTAAAATAGTTTTGTAAAATGTTTTAATGAAAAGTACCTTTAAAAGCCTCAGATATAGCCATTGAATGTATATTATTAAAGAATTTTTTTCCCTATGTAACGTGTCTACATAACAATTTAGATATTTATTCTCCATTACTATGTTGGGTTGAGTGGTATGACACAGTTGGCCATTTTAAAAATCAGTGTACTTTAGGGGTATCTTTAATTAACTTTCAGACCTAACATATTAGTTTTTTTGATTTTTTTAAAGTTATACAAGAGAGAAACAACTGTTTTTAAGAGACCATCTTTTTTTAAAAGACTGGTTTTTTTATCATGACAAAGCATACCATTGGCATTGCCAGACATGCAAGAAATAAGGTAGAAGACATGTTTTTTCATATTTTTTTCCATCTTTGGTTTCCCAGTTCCCCTTCTTAGCAGTCAGGCTTCCTTCCCCCTTCAAGTTTCCCAGTGTTTTCCCAATCTTGCGCACATGGAAATAAAGTAATTTATGCTAAAATGTTATAGAGGCCATGTTGCCTTACTAGGACTCTTTGCCTTTTTTAAAAAAGAATGGTTAAACCAACCAATAATTAGCATACCAAAAAAAAAAAAAAACCCACCAAACCCGTTGCTCTTGAGTCGATTCCAACCCATAGCAACCCTAGAGGACAGAGTAGAACTGCCCTTAGGGTTTCCGAGGAGTGGTTGGTAGATTTGAACTGCCGACCTTTTGGTTAGCAGCTGTCTCGCTTAACCATTGCACCATACACAAACCAAAAAAACAAGGAGAGGGAGGAAGGGTGGATGGATGGATGGATGGATGGATGGATGGGGGTAGGGGTTCAGGCATCACAGGAGAAGTCTTTTGGACAGGACATTTACCCAGAACTCATACTATGTGGGTAAGGTCTGTCCTGGTGAGAAGATGGTCCATCAGTAGACTCTACCAATACTTTGTGTATCCCAACCACTGATTTGTATTTATTTACTTTCTTCTTTTGTCAGTTGTACTAGCTTGAAATCAAGTCACTCTTTTTTTGTTTGTTTAAGGCTGAAAGAGCATATTCCTTTTGTGGAACTATTGAATACATGGCACCAGATATTGTCAGAGGGGGAGATTCAGGACATGACAAGGTATGTCCTATTTCTGAGGCTGCTTTATATATCTCCATAAGATACAGGACTCCTAGTTAACAACTTAAGTACAGTGTCTCTTCAGCATTTCTCTTTCTGGTGTTGACTGTCTTACTTTCATTTTCTTTCCTTTGCTTTGTATACCTGAACACATGAGAATGTATAGAGTTTTGGAGGAAAAAAATAGAAAGATTAGCAAATTCTAGATTCTCTTTTTTAAGGTTTTATTGGTAAGGATTTTTATTTGTTTTATAAAGTAACACTCTTGTTAAAGTGAAACGTCAAACTTGACTAATTTTTCAAATTTTTATTTTATTTCCCTTAAAAGAGCCTGTATCTTGAGCCAGCATCAATTGTAACTCCTTTTTATAAAAAAATCATTCTTTTTCTGTTGCATGGGACCTTGGTCTTTTAAGACACAGCCGTGCCACTTATAATACAGTGGTATCACCAAATACATAACTGTGCACATTGTTCCCATCTGCATCAAGGTGAATGATTTTGGACGGTGCTTATTGGCATTATTGATTTCTGCTAGAAAAACATAGGAGTCCCTGATTGGCACAAATGGTTAAGTGCTTGACTACTAGCCCAAAGGTTGGCGGTACGAACCCACCCAAAGGTTCCTTGGAAGACAAGCCTGGCAGTCTGCTTCTGAAAGGTCACAGCCTTGAAAATCCTGTGAAGCAGTTCTACTGTGCACATTCGGAGTCACCGCGAGTAGGAATCAACTCGACGGCAACCAACAACCCAGAAACCTGTTGTGTGTCCCTTTAATTGATACTTGCTTTCTAGGAGGTCACTAAGAAAGCATACGAAACTTATTCCCAATTTCTGCCTCAAACTTTGTAAAGAATATTGCAGACTTTGTTGAATATTCCTTTTGTAAAAATAACCATTGTAACAATCCTTGGAGGAAAAGAACAATCCTGTATTCAAAAGAGTCTAAGTTTGTTTTCCTGCCCTCTAAGATTCTCTGCTTTTTTCCTCTCCACTTCTCCTCGTATGTGCAAAATGAAGATTGTAGCAGAGGCTTGCTAAGTGATTATGTTATAAAATCTAGGTCACTTTTTTCTTCTTCCCTTAATAAAGGGTACAGATTTGCTCAGTTTTTTCTTAACGCTTCTACTTTATTAATAACTTTCTCCAAATAAGGAATTCTGACTGTTCTTTGCTTCTCATCTTCTCCTCTCCTTCACCCTTTTCAAAGTCCCACGTGCACGTCCAGATAATCTGTCTGTGGAGAAATCTTTGGTGTCCTTCCTAGTGACTAATCATATATTCAGAAGCCCCTTTCTTCAAGTTTGTATAGTGTTGATTTCAAACCTATGGCTAAACTCTGATTATTGGCCTGTATTGGTTTAAGAGCATCATTTCAAATCCAGTGGCAAAGCATGCTGAGAGTTCTGGCTCAAATTGCAGTGAAACTGCTTCTATAAATTAAAAAACACACAAACCAGTTGCTGTGGAGTTGATTTCAACTCATAGCGACCGTATAGGACAGAGTAGAACTGCCCCATAGAGTTTCCAATGCTATAGTCTTTATGGAAGCAGACTGCCACCTTTTTCTTCTGTGGAATGGCTGGTGGGTTTGAACCACCGACCTTTCGATTAGCAGCCAAGTGCTTAACCACTGCACCACCAGGGCTCTGCTTGTGTAAATAGAAGGATTGAAATGCTGGATTAATCTGCTTAATGGTATTCTTTGAAGCTATGGAGGAATTTGGTAGGAATTTACGACTGTTACAATGTGAAAATTACCTTCTAAGACCTAATGAAACCAATTTTTAGGTAAGAAAACCTTGTGTTACTTATAGAATTTCTGCATACCTGAGGTCTAGAATAGAGTCAGTCAATAAATGTTCTTTCCCATACATGGAAGACCCTGATGACTTTGAGTTAATTTAATGAGATTATTGTTGTTGGTGTGTGTGTGCCATCGAGTCAATTCTGATTTATAGCGACCCTGTCGGACAAAGTAGAACTGCCCCACAGGGTTTCCTAGGGTATAATCATTATGCAAGCAGATCACCAAGTCTTTTCTCCCGCTGAGTGGCTGGTTGGGTTGGAATGCTGACCTTTCAGTTAGCAGCCAAGTCCTTTAACCACTATGCCACCAGGGCTCATTTTTAAATGAGATAATGTGTGCAAAGTGCTCATCACAGTACCTGGCGTCAAGGGAGCATTCATTAAATACTCCCTCTCAGGTTCAGACTGCCTGTTCTTGTTTTAGATGTCAGTGTTACACATTTTCTTTAAAATAGCTCTAGACTCACAAACTTCTTCTCATCTCTCAGAAACTTTGACCCAAAATGAATACACTTAAGCTAGTGTATTTAACAGTTACTGAAATTTTGATTTGCCTAATTACAGAACTAATTTTTAATATATCAAGATCCTAAACTGTATATAATTTCTATGCTCTCAATTCAGATAGTTGCATTTGTAAATTCGTTTCCAATTTAGAATACATTTTATTTTATATTATTTTAAATCTCTTCATGCTTCCCACCATTGAAGATTCTTAGATTTCTGTGATAGAGTCTGTAAGAGAAATTGTTTTAGGTTGTTACAAAAAATAACACCCTTGGATTTTTTTTTCCATTTTCTTCTTCCAAGATATTTGTTTTTAAGGAATTCCCTAAGTCTCATTGGAGTTAAATAATTAATAAGAATACTGATAGATACTTTAAAAAAAAAAAGATTTTTTTCCCAATCATAAATCCAAGGATTTGACTTATTTAAAATGTAAAAAATTTACTTTAAATTTTAAAAAATTTAGTTAACCAAAGTAAGACTGTTACTAGTTTAGGAAATAAAAGACTTTTAGCTCCTTGATTGACTTCGCTATGTTTAAATTCTGTGCTTAGGATATCTTCATGTTTGTTCCCTAAATGTGTGTCTTACATGTGCTAATTTAATACTCCTTGCACAGAAAGCTACGTACAAAGTCTTTCTGTTAAAATATTTTCCAAGTATATTGCTTTATTTTTTCATCTTTTTCTTTGTTATAAAATATATTTTAGATAATATTTGTATAAAATGAAATTATTGTTGTTTTGTAGGCAGTTGACTGGTGGAGTTTAGGTGTTCTAATGTATGAATTACTAACTGGAGCATCTCCTTTCACTGTTGATGGAGAGAAAAATTCCCAAGCCGAGATATCTAGGTAAGCTTTAACTAAATAAAATAAATGTGCTGTTTTCTCAAAGAAGTTGGTCAAATTACTGCAATTAGGCTGATGAAAAAAATATATATTTTTTTTAACAAGGATAGACAGAATGATGTTTACGTGGTAAATTTCCGTGTTAATCTAGTAGGCAGATATGTAACTTTTGTATTTCCTTATATTTTGTGGGCCAGATTAGAACTTACGTTTCATAGGAGAAGTGTCCTAAAGCACATTTCACATTGTCTTATACCTAGTTGTTGTTGTTGTTGTTGTTGTTGTTAGGTGCCATCGAGTCAGTTCCAACTCACAGTGACACTATATACAACAGAACGAAACACTGCCTGGTCCTATACCATCCTCACAATCAATGTTATGCTTGAGCTCGTTGTTGCAGCCACTGTGTCAATCCATCTCATTGAGGGTCTTCCTCTTTTTTGCTGACCTTCTACTTTACCAAGTATGATGTCCTTTCCGGGGACTGGTCCCTCCTGATAACGTATCCAAAGTATGTGAGACGAAGTCTCAACATCCTTGCCTCTAAGGAACATTCTGGCAGTACTTCTTCCAAGACAGATTTGTTTGTTCTTTTGGCAGTCCATGGTATATTCAGTATTCTTCGCCAACACCACAATTCAAAGGGATCAGTTCTTCATTCTTCCTTATTAATTGTCCAGCTTTCACATGCATATGAGGCTATTGGAAACACCATAGCTTGGGTCAAGCGCACCTTAGTCCTTAAAGTGACGTCTTTGCTTTTTAATACTTTAAAGAGGTCTTTTGGCAGTAGCTTTTCCCAAAGTAATAATGTCATTTGATTTCTTGACTGCTGCTTCTGTGGTCATTGATTGTGGATCCAAGTAAAATGAAATTTTTGACAACTTCAATCTTTTCTCCATTTATCATGATGTTGCTTATTGGTCCAGTCATGAGGATTTTTGTTTGCTTTATGTTGAGGTGTAATTGATACTGAAGGCTGTGATCTTTGTTCTTCATCAGTAAGTGCTTCAAGTCCTCTTCACTTTTAGCGAACAAGGTTGTGTCATCTGCATATTATTATTATTAATATTATTAATGAGTCTTCCTCCAGTCTTGATGCCCCATTCTTCTTCATATAGTCCAGCTTCTCGGATTATTTGCTCAGCATACAGATTGAATAAGTATGGTGATAGGATACAACCCTGACACGTACCTTTCCTGACTTTAAACCACGCAGTATCCCCTTGTTCTGTCCAAATGACTGCCTCTTGGCCTATGTACAGCTTCCTCATGAGCACAATTAAATGTTCTGGAATTCCCATTCTTCATAGAGACTGACCATACCAAGTGTTGATAAGAATGTTAGAATTCTCATATATGCTGGGAAGAATGTAAAATAGTTACAGTCACTTTGGAAAACAGGCAATTTCTTAAAAATTAAAGATCATCTATCATATGATCAGTCATTCCGCTCCTTGGTATTTACCAAGAAAAGTGAAAACATGTCCGTACAAAAATTCATACACAAGTGTTCATAGCAGCTTTATTTGTAATAGCCCAATACTGGAAATAACCCAAATGTCTATCAGCAAGTGAATGGTTGAACGGGTGCGGTTTATCCATATAAATGGAATACCACTTAGCGGTAAAAAAGAAATGATCTATTGATGCATGCAACAAATGTGGATGAATCTCAAGATGATAATTCTGGGTGAAAGAAGCCAAGCAGTACAGAGTGCATACTGTATAATTCCATTCTAGAAAACGCAAACTAATCTATATTGACAAACAACAGATCAGTGGTTGCCTGGGGACCAGAATGGAAAAGAGATTACAAAGGCACAGGAGGAAACTTTGGAAGTGATGGGTATATTCACTATCTTGACTTTGGCAATGACTTCACAGGTGTGTACATATGTCAAAACTATCAAATTGTACACTTCATATGTGGGCAATTTATTATACATCAATTGTTCTTCAGTAAAACTTTTAAAGTTATCGAAATGTTCCTTTTCCAGGATGAGGTTGGAATAATTTCTCATTATTCTAGCTTACTTAAGACCAAAGTTAAGTGATCAGGAATACTTTTTTTAAAAAATCATAGTGAGTTTAAGTCATGCCTGTTATGAACAATTCTAAACATGACTGCTTATTTTTAACCTTTTGTTTTGCTTGACAGTTTGAAAATCCCTGAGAATTATAGGAACCCTTGGGCGTAGTTTTGAGACTTTGGTTCTGTTGGCAAAGTCATACCTGTCATGGTGATAGGTCCAAAGAGCAGCCTTAGCCTGACAACATTAAATAGTGGCCCCTCTGAATAAATTCTCCTCTTTCTCATTCCACAGACACAGGAAATCTTCATTTTATCATTTTCCTTTCCACTCTAGGTCTGCCTATAGTAAGATAGTATATTGCTTGTTATGATGGCAGGAATATTCTGGACCAAGTGATGTTTAACTTTAAATTGCTCTTGTTGCCTTTATATCGATTAGTTGACATTCTGGTTTTAGAAAGAGAAAGAGCCTGAATCAGATTGTCTAAAATCTTAAACTAGAGCAAATGAATTTTTCAAGAATTTAAATAGGATTCTTTTCTCTTTAATCAACTAATTATTCCCTTTTGCATTTTGTTTAAAACTTGATATTAACCTGTGATTCCATGTTTGCAACTCAGATTTACCAACAGTATAATTAAGGAATTAATCCTTCGTTACCTTTTCCTTTCGAGATAATCATTCTGATTGTCTTTCCTGGTGTAAAATCTTTCATAATCTGTTTCTCTTAAAATATATACCATTCAGATAGATGTGTCATTATCTCATCCCTACATGCCTTAATTAGCCAAGGCTTTTTTTCATCATTGAATTCTTCTATTCCTTAATTTTGATGATCTTCCTTGAACTCTACATTTCTTTTTTTTTTTTTTTAAGGTTCAAAATAATGTATCATCAAATTTATCTGCTTGCCTCCTGTTGTCTGCAGGTAGCCTAAAATCAGAATAAAATTTGTTCTTGAATATCAAATTTCAATATATAATAAGAACTTAGAATGAGAAGAAAACTTAAGAGTCAGACTCTCTCCGTAGAATCTCTTTATCAGTCTCCCTGATAAATTGCCATCTCCTTTCTGTCTGAATGCACCATGGAAGGGTGACATTATTGTATAAGGTATTTACAAGGAAGCCCATCCTGTTATTGAACAATCTTAGTTGTTAGAGAATTTTTTCCCCCTTAAAATGAGCTAAAAATAGCCACCTCTAATCTCTGCAGTTTTGCTGTGGTCTTCCAAAGAACATTGACTAATTCTGTTGTTTCTTTCAGATATTGCTTCAGTTGGTTGAAGATAGCTTTATCTAGATAAGCCTTTCCAGTTCCTTTAACTGTTGTCATGACTTAATTTCCAGATTCCTCACATCTTGGTACCATTTTGGACAGATATAAAATTGCCAGCATAATAGATTTGAATGATTGGTCTTTAGCATTTCTCTGAGTTTGTATCTTAATTTTACTTCCTGTATGTAGCGTGTACTTTTCTTGTGTGTCTTCCACTAGCTTCCCTTGCCTTTCTATGTAGAACCGTGTCTTTTAGGGTGTGTGTTACCACTGCATGAGAAGGTATCCCTCCAAGAAGGGGCCCTTCACTTACCTGGGGCTTTCCCTCCCTAAACCACAATAATTGAATATTCCCTCACTTGAGAATCAGGATGTAGAGGTTCTGTGTGCATCTCTTCCATCATCTCTAACAGGCTTGTGTCTTGGTCTCACTTTCTCTGCCTTTGAAATATAGAAAGAGATGATTATTATCTGTCAATAAATTGTGCTTTATTAATTTGTTTCATTGTATTATTATAATATTATGTAAATCTAGGTCTAAGTATTATCAAAATAATGGCATTAAAAAGAGCTCTAGTTAGTACTGTTTAGATCAGGGGTCAGCCGACTATGGCCTACAGGCCAAATCCACTCTGCTGCTTGTTTTTAGATGGCCCACAAGGTAAGAATAGTTTTTATACTTTTAAATGGTTGAAAAAAATACCAAAAGAAGAATATTTCATGACATGTAAAAATTATGTGAAATTCAAACGTCAGTATCCATAAAGTTTTATTAGAACAAAGCCATGCTCATTCATTTACATACTGTCTCTGGCTACTTTTGTTCTGTAATAACAGCATTAAATAGTTACCTCAGAGGCCATATAGCTTGCAAAGTCTGAAATATTTACTGTCTGACCCTGTATTGTATAACAAATTACCCCAAAATTTAATAGCTTAAAACAACATACATGCATTATGTCACAGTTTCTGTGTGTCAGGAATCCAGGCACAGCTTAGCTGGGTCCTCTACTTCAAAGGTCTCTCACAGGCTACAAGCAAGGTGTTGACTGGGCTGTAGTTGTATCAAGGCTCCACTGGGAAAGGATCTGTTTCCAAGTTGACAGGATTCAGTTCTTCTCAGGCTGTTGAGCTGAGGACCTCAGTTCCTTGTCGGTGATTGACTGAAGACCATCCTCAGTTCCTTGCCATGTGGACCTCTCTAACATGTCAGCTTGTTTCGTCAGTGTATGCAAGCTGAGAAGGCAACAGAGAAGAATCTGCTAGCAAGATGGAAGTCACGTTTTGTAACCTAGTCATGGAAGTGATATCATTTTTAGTGTATAATATTGGTTATAAGCAAGTCACTAGGTTTAGTCCGCCCCAACTCATGGTGACCTCATGCACCATGGGATCAGACCATTGTGACCCATAGGGCTTTCATTGGCTAACTTTTGGAAGTAGATCACCAGGCCTTTCTTCTTAGTCCATCTTAGTCTGGAAGCTCTACTGAAACCTGTTCAGCATCATAGAAACACACAAGCTTCCACTGACAGATGGGTGCTGGCTGCACACGAGGTGCATTGGCCAGAAATCAAACCTGGGTCTCCTGCACTGAAGGTGAGAATTCTACAACTGAACCCACCACACTTGGGGAAGGAAATTACACAAGGTGGTGAAGAAAGGAGACAGGGATCATTGAGGATTAGAGTCTGCCTGCCAGACTTCTTTACAAAAAAGTTTGCCAACTCCTGATTTAGGTAATCAGTTTATTATTTGTCCTGCCAAGGAATAGTTCCCTTTAGGTAACTGATTTTGTGCAACTTTCTACAATCTTCTGAATACAAAATCAAGACTAACTCTTTCATTTTATCCTTGTTGACTAGTCAGTTAACACCTTGAATTAGCCCCATTGTATTTTTTTTTCTTTCATTTTTCGTTTGTAGGCGTCTTGCGTTCAGGGTTATATATAAAATAATTACAAGTATTACTTTTTACCCTGTCTCAAGAAGAGAACACAATATATTTTCCTTGGCTTTCTTATCCTTCTTACGTCTTTATGATAGCATCTTTTATCAGCATACTTTATAAAGCCTTCTTGATTCCCAGTATGCTATTAATTTTCTTTCTTCATCATTTTAGGTATTTTTGTATCCAATAGCAGCATCTACGTTTCCCGGTTTTTTAATTGTGGTGAAAATATACACAGCAAAACATTCATACCAAGCTTTTTGACTAGTTACCCAAAATCTATTAATGTTTGTCACAAAAGCTGTTCATCTGTACATTCTTCTGCATGTCCTAACTGCAACAGCTTCAGACTAGAGTCTAGTAACGGGAGGGATGTAGCAGGAAGAGGAACACTCTTAGTCCTCAGCTTTGTATCTTCTTTCTTTTCATCATCCTTTTAATCTTTCTACTCCTACTTCACTTGCGTAACACGTGGGGATAGGCGTGAAGCATGCTATATTACTAATGTGCCCTCAAAGCCACTCCCTAGGGAGGTAGAGGGTTAGGGGCTCTGAATAATCCTTCTAGTCATGGAGACGATCCGTCAGAAACATGATCAGTCTGGTTATCAGTTCTTGGGTTTCCCTTATCTGTCACTGCTCCACCTCACTGCTCTGGCCTTCTCTTATTTCCAGGATGATGGCCTGTGTAGGCACTTAACTGCTGCCTCTGGTCACTACCCTAGCCAGTTCCTCACTATTCTTATCAACTTGACTCCTCAAAGATCAGCCTCATACATCCTAGGGTCATGGAGGGAAGAAGACGGTCTTGTGTGTTCGTGGCTCTGTCATTTGTTTTGGTCGCTGGAGTGCCCTATTGTCCTTATGAGCTCACTATCATATATGCTACCATCCTTGCGTATTACATGGCCTCCTGAAAGGGCCTCATTCTTTTGGACAATAAATAACCTTGTCTCTGTACTGCCTCTTGCTTTCTGCCTCTGGCCCTTTTCCATTTAGCCATCTCTCTGAAATAATGTTGCATTCTTGGCTCTTGGCTATGTACACTCCTTTAATTTGTTACCTGCAGCCACTTGGCCCCAAGAGACCTCCAAGATCCGAGTTCTCTGTTGCCCATTTCTATCACCCTGCCCCCAGAGATAATCAGTGGGTGGAGAAGTAAAAGCTTTGAAAACATTGACTGGGCCACAGGAAAGAGCATAGAAAGGAAGAAGGACAGAGAAGAGGTCTGCCAGTAAAAGCTGTAGTCGGTGTAAAAGGGTCCCTGCTCTAGCCTAAGCTGTGGCCACCTCTGAGCAAGGTGTAGTAAATGGAAAACAATTAGACATTTATTTATTCAGTAAATACTTCTTGAGTACTTGCTATATGCTAAGCAATGTTCTGGGCTCTGGGAATAAAGCAGTGAACAAAACAGAATCCTTGCTCCCTTAGAGTTTACATTTTAGATGGGAGAGATAAGTAATAGACAAATAAATATATATAATATGTTATTAATGTCATAAAGAAAAATGAAACAGTTTAAAGGGATAAGGAGTGGGGGGACAGCTATTTTTGATAAAATAGTTGGAGAAGGCTTCTCTGATAAGGTAACACTTGGGTAAAGACTTTAGTGGCGTGAAAAGTGAGCATTGCCCATTATTGCTAATTCTTTTGTGTTAACTTTTAACTTAGACAGTTCTTTATTATATTTTAGTGAGCATACAAAACACATGTATAAAATTCCATAGGTTCACTTGTTACCCCAATATTTTATTATGAAAACTTCAAGCATATAGAAAAGTTGTTTACAGTGGACACCCATATACTCAACACCTAGATTCTCCATGAGTATTTTACTATCCTGTGTATTACATATCTACCATCTATCCATCCCTCTCTCCATCAGAGGCTTGGTTTTAATCTTGATGTCCTCACATTGTTGAATCTGTAAATCCTTAAGTTAATTGTGAATTTCTTTTACCACAGGGGTTTTCAGAAACATAACATTCATGAATGGGAAGAAATGTTATATTCATTTTTATATTATAGATTTTAATTCTCATTTTGTATTTTACATGTAACTCCTCAGGCCGTTTGGAGCTAATGTGGGGATGTGATATAAGGCAAGGATCGAACATGTTTATTTCCTGCATAGCTGGCTTCCCCAGCACAAATGTTGAACAATACAGTCTTTTCTGTGTTGGTTGGTCACTTTTAAAAAATATACTAAGTTTTTTTGTATGCCTGGGCATTTTTTCAAGTTTTCTTTTCTTTTCACTCTACTTGACTGTTGATTTGTTTTGCTGTCACCTCAATTTTACTGTTTTGTTTTATAATACATTTTAATATGTAGTTAGGCAAAGTCTTCCTTAATTACCTTTTTTTCAGAATTTTCTTAGCTGTGTTGGTATGTGCTTATTCTTGCATATAAATATTAAAATCATTCATGTTCTAAAACAGGGTGTTGAAATTTTAATTCATATTTATATTTCTTGCTTTTTTGAAAGGGATCTTTCTTCGTCTGTAAAACAGGGATAATGAGAGCAGCCTTTTGATAGGATTGTTGTATGGATTAAATGAACATATATATACACCTGAAGTGTTTAACGTGCTATATCAACTCAAAGCTGGTTCTGATTTTATAGAGGGCTGTAAGATCGATTTGTGTCCTACGCAGTTGCAGTTCTTTTCTGGAGTTTCCCAAGCCCATTTGGAAGCAACAAAAAAATAACTGGGTTATTACTACTTTAGAAATCAAGCCATTGGCATAAGTGAAGTGGCTGCAACACCCTAGACATCACTGTCTGCCTTGTTGCAGGGTGTTCTAGTATTGTCAGGACTACAAGTCCCACTTCTGCAGTGGCCATTCTGCATAGCCAGCAGTGGTCTCAGGTACAGATGGACGTTCACACTCGCAGGTCAATAGGCTATAATCTGGCACCAGTTTTACTTTGCTTTATAGAAGCATACAGGGCAGGAAACATAATATATCAGCATGACAGCATCAAACACATCTTCATCAGTGTCCTTCCAACAACCTGGGCAGGACTCCCCAGCCCACAGTGGACACCTTCAGTGATAGTGATGAGACCATGTGGGTAGATGTGGACTGCCCCAGCATGGGGAGTCCCCAGCGCAAGAACTGTGTCTCATAACTGCCTGTGAGCATAGCTTTTCCACAAGGATACCCTTAGGTATAAGAGAGAACACAGAGTGGCTTGTGTATTCTAAAAGTCTTTTAAATAGTCCTGGACAAGAAAACCCTCAGGACCTACATGCCCACTCACAGACCTTCCAGTCCAGATGCAGTTCACCTGTCGGGTCACTTACATAGTAACCTGGTACAGCTGACATTTCACATTTATTTTAACCCAGTGCAGTTCAAGGAAACAGTGTAAGAAGAAGGTAAATCCAAGATCATCTTTTCATGGAGAACAGGTTTAAGCCTGCTGTAAGCCCTTTCTCCTCACCACCCAACCCCAAATCTTTGGTCCCGTTCCTGAAATTGCAGTTTTTCAACAGGAATGGACTTCAGAGCTTCTCTACCCTGCTAAGGAATCCCTGTGCCACCCCATTTACAGGGACAACAGGGAGCCCATGGACCTTCAATGATTCCTTTCTTGGACCTGCTACTTGGCTCCACTCTTCAGTGTTTGAACTCAGTCTGGCTCCAAGCCCATGCTCTTACTCACTGCAGTATACTCTCTTTTACACATTTATTATCTGCTTTTGTTCCATAACAGTTATTGATATTTTCATGCACAAATATTTATGCAAACTCAGATAATTGAGTAACTGTTTATCTCCATGTATACTGTATTGTTTCTTAATTTCAGTCTTTCTCTTTTATTCTTTATTTCTTATTAAATTATTGGCCTGGCTTTTAAGAAAGGAGAAAAGTACATTTGGATTAGATTGTTTTCTTCTGTGCCCTTGGAATAAATTCAGATATCTCATCAGGAAATTTGATTATCTGAATTTTTTATTTTCCATAATAAGTAATAGACTTTACTCCATCTCAGAGCTCTGCCAGCCTCATAGAGCTTACCTGCCTGTTTTCTAGTAGAAATAGTGAAGCAGATGCTTTCACCCCACGAAAAGCTCCCAGCTCTAGTGCCCATTTTCAGATATCAAGAGCTGAGTCATATCCAAGTCGTTCTGACTGTCCTCTTCTCGGTCTTGCTTTCTCTGCGCTCCTGCTGGCTCGGTGTGTTTGCTGGCACACAGGGAAAGATGAGTGAGATGGGTTTGTTGGGTTCTCTCCTGTCCTTTTAAATCTGAGTGCTGAATTCACTGCATCTGTTTTCATTGTAAAATCTTTAATCATAGAATCTAATCCATGGATAGGAGGTCTAATCTAGCCCTAATCCTTTCCTTTTTTTTTTTTTTTTTTTCCCCAATTAGATATTTGGGATGGTAGATTTATACTGAAAAAGATCTAAAACTTTTTGTTTCTGTTTATTTTAAATTTCAGAAATTGGTTCCATGGTACCTTATTTTAACTATTTTCATTTCCATTGTTCACATGTAGTTCAATTTCAAAGTGTTTTTCTCTATACTTGTTTTTGTTTTAAAATGCCATCGCTATGAAACTTAGTCCTCTGGTTGTTTTAACAGCAAGTTTTATTTGCCTACAGGAGAATATTAAAAAGTGAGCCTCCATATCCCCAGGAAATGAGTGCTTTAGCAAAAGACCTAATTCAGCGTCTTTTGATGAAAGATCCCAAGAAAAGATTGGGATGTGGTCCACGTGATGCGGATGAAATCAAAGAGCATCTCTTCTTTCAGGTAAAATGTATTGAACAGATGGTTTCATACCCCTGCTGTTTTCACGGTGCTCAGCATTCTTGGTGGACTGAGTGAACGCAGTGCTTCTTGGAGTCTTTCCCCTGATTTTCACACACAGTTGTGCTTTTTATAAACGACAGAGACCCTTTAGGAAGGACCAGAATTCTACTTGTAAAGACCTAAATGGTATTTTTTTCTTTTCTAAATGGAGCAGAGGTGGGGAAGACCATAATAATATTCAATTTCCTACATACTCAATGTTTTCCTGTTAGCAGCATATTTCTGTAAGCGACCCGTTTACTCTAGAAGCCTCTCTTAGTGTATGTGTAGTAGCCAGGCACAAGTGATATGCTGGTGATGGAAACCATTGCAACCACAAGGGGGAAAGAAAGTAACCTGAAAGTCAAGATCAAACTGTGTTCTAATCGTGACTCGTCCACCAGCTCATCTTCAAGTGAAACGGTCAGTTCTTATTTCGGGGCTTCAGTTTCCTCCTGGATCAAAGAAAAAAAGTTGAACTAAATGATCTTTTAAAACCCATTTTAGCTGAAAAATCTGAAGGCTATAATTTAATGAATTTATCTCCATTGCATCCACAAGGGGGCATAATAGAAACATTTTATGTTGATTAAACTTACAGAATTTTATCAACCAAGAATTGCAGGTTTTCACATTTTATCATCCTTGAAGTCTGTTTGCATCTTGCAGTGGACAGCATCTTGTTATTCTCATTGGTAATGCTTTCTTCTTAGTGATACATAATGGCAAATCTTAGAATCACTGATGTAGATTCAAAGACATAGGATAGCTATAGGATTTAATCCAATAAGTATTACCTGAGGTTGTTTTTAAGTGACTTGAAGTAACATAAAGAAAACAGAACAGAGGGTTGGATTTGAATAATATAAAACATAGCAATTAATCAGACAATAAATGTCTGACATGAGTGGAGAGGGGTCTGGGATTGTCCTATGGGGAAGATCAGAGGCAGTGTTTAAAAGGCATGAATTTAATGAATAAGAAGAGAGTGATTGCATCAGTGTGATAGTCGGCATCATTTAAGATTACAGACATAAACAATTACATGATTTATAGTGAATTTGCTTATTTTCTAATCTTTCCAGATGACCAGGAGGAAAAGAAAGAAAGAGGGAGAGCTAAGTAACATTGCCTCTAGAAAATAGAAACATTCATTTAAAATCAGTATTCATATTCATGATTGTGAGGATGGCTCAGGACCAGACAGTGTTTCCTTCTATTGTACATAGGGTCACTGTGAGTTGGAACCAACTCAACAGCACCTAACAACAACAACATTCATATCCATAGAGTATTTTAAAGCCCTTTATTGCTTCTTTTTAACTTAACACCTTTCTCAGGAATCTCAGGACAAAAATATTTTTTCTTTGATATCCCTAAGGGCAAACATGGGTGTCTCGGTATCCCCACCCCCTTCACAGAGGACACCAGATCCCACAGTGATGTGAAGCTGTAGCATCTTCCAGACACAGTGGGTGGGGCCTATTAGCTGCAGTCAGAAAACGTGCTCTTGCTTGAATGCATTTGAATCATGGTGTTGGTGAAGAATATTGAGTATACTACGGACTGCCGGAAGAATGAACAAAGCTGTCTTAGAATATATACAACCAGAATCCTCCTTAGAAGCAAGGATGGTGAGACTTCGTCTCATGTACTTGGGACATGTTATCAAGAGGGACCAGTCCCTGGAGAAGGACATCATGCTTGGTAAAGCACAAGGTCATTGAAAAAGAGGAAGATCCTTGCTGTGGGGACCATGGTCTCGGGGAACATCTAGCTCAATTGGCATAACACAGTTTATAAAGACAATGTTCTACATTCTACCTTGGTGAGTAGC